CGAGGTTTATGTTGAGTTATAAATTTTAATATATGATGGGGGTAATCTTGAATCCTCGACCCCTCGTCCAAACCTAGAAGTGCACTAACCGTTTCCAATACAGAGCCTCCAGTCGGGGTTTACGCGTATGACTGTGAAATATCCATTCACGCTTTCCCACTGAACCACTTGGTTATGACAGGGTGCCCCATAACGATCAACGTTCGTTATCTGGGAAATAAATATTTCCTCCTCCACGGTGGGGTCGCATACCTTGCGCGAAGAATATCACGCGTTATGGGAAATTCACGATCTTCACCGATGGAAAATTGAAGAATTCAAGTGAGAGCACTCGTTTTACATTTTGAAATTAAATATTTATTGTTTTTAGTAAAAAATTGTCGATTGTTCGGAATTATTGTCTACGTTATTAAATTTATAACCATTTCATAAGTCGGTCAAATGGAATTTTGACATTTTAATATTTATTGAGTTTCTAAATACCTCATTGAGATATTCAGAAACTCAATAAATTCTGCTTTTCAAAATTTTGAAATTTCATTGAATTTTCAGTGAAATCTGAATTTCAATGATTTCTCATGAAATTTTATTTTTTTCTAACTGTGTGTTGTATAACGAAAAATAAAAAATTCATGTTATTTTGATTCCGAATACTCATGTTCTACTGAAAATTCAATGGAATTCCAAAATTTTCAGCAGTATTAAGATGAGAATGCCTCAACTTTTTTCAATGAAAATATAAATATTCAATGCCAAATTATACTCTTCAAAATTGTTGCCTGAATTTTCCGTGGCAAATTCCAAAAATTTTTATTGTATTCCAATTCCACTGAAATTTGAGGAAATCTTGTCATTGAAAATTCAGAATTTTGTTGAAAAATCAAACAGAACTGCAAATTTCCGTTCCAGTTTTCCCTGGAAATGAATAGAAAATCAGAAAATTTCGGTAAAAATATTCTTGAATTTCCAGGACAGTGACACTGAATGCGATTTAGGGGGAAAAATCCCGAGATTTCAGATTTCGCGGAAAATTCAATGCAATTTGAGAGTAAATATTCACATTAGATTGAAAATTCAAATAAATTACGAAATTCTCATCTTTATGGCCCTTAAAATTCTGGAATTTAACTGAATTATCCGTGAAACCGGAAATTTAATTTTTTTTAACAGTGAACTCTTGATAAATGATGATATAAAAATCGTCCCAGGAACGTAATTCATAACCGTTCAAATGCTCCACCAGGTATTTTCGTGGACAATAACCAAGGGCGAGGACATCTCGACTTCCGGAGTCCACCGTGTATCCTGGAAATTCTATGTACGTCTTTGAGATGTCGATTTAAATATCCTTTAGACTATACCTTGTACCTTCCGGAGGATCCCCGACGGCCTTCGGCTGTGCGAGCTAACGACCGTGGAAGCCCAACAGACCCTCTGTCGGCATTCACTATCCGGAAGGCACGACTGGAGATATATTCGTTCTTTCTAACGTATCCTCCGAGCTTGTCCCCCCTGGTCATGCATATATGGATTTTGGGATTGTCAATAGCACGGCCTTCCACAAGGACGCGCTTGCTTTGTTTGGAGGGTGCAGAGTTGTTTGGTTGACATTAGGAGACTAATATTGGTGGAAAGTGAATTTTTTTAACTGCAGTTTTGTGGTCTGAATTCAAGTGACAGCTACATTTGAATTTCTAATTATGCTATGAAATTTCTGAGAGCCCGTCGCTTAAATAGTTGGATTCAACGTTCACCCGGCTAAAAAATTCGATTTTGGCGAAAATCCACTTGCCCCAGAAAACCCGAAAATCTGACCCTTTGGCTGGGGCCAAAAAAAAACGGTTTCTCAGTTTTCACTTTTTCCACATACTTTTGACAGTTCTGACTAGCCCGTCGCTTAAATAATTGGAATCAACGTTCACCCGGTTAAAAAAATCGATTTTGGCGAAGAATCCAAGGTCTGACACTTTGACCCTTGTGACCCTTGAACCGACTTTCCCCCCGGAAGAATCCAAGATCCGACACTTTGGCCTCCGGTGAAAAATTTTTTTTTTCAGTTTTCACTTTTTCCACATACTTTTGATAGTTCTGAATAGCCCGGCGCTTAAATAGTTGGAATCAACGTTCACCCGGCTAAAAAATTAGATTTTGGCGAAAATCCACTTGCCCCAGAAAACCCGAAAATCTGACCCTTTGGCTGAGGCCAAAAAAAACGGTTTCTCAGTTTTCACTTTTTCCATATACTTTTGACAGTTCTGACAAGCCCGGCGCTTAAATAGTTGGAATCAACGGTCACCCGGCTAAAAAAATCGATTTTGGCGAAGAATCCAAGATCTGACACTTTGACCCTTTCAGAATGTACAAGTCAATAATTAGAAGATCGTTAAAATCGACGATTACAATGCTGCCATTTGGAAGCAAAAATCCTCAAAAGTCCCCGCACTTACTGTTTCAGTTTGACCAACACCTCGTTTCTCTAAGAACCTCAAGAAAATTCTTGGCTTTCGTCAAACCCGTGAAAAAATTTCACACTTGAGTCATCTCTGCAGTTGCCTCATCATCTTCTCCCCTCCAAAAAATAAAAAAACTGTTCATCAAACCGCATCACAAACTTTCCGATGTCACCTCCATCCCTTTTACATGCAACCTTCAAGTACCATGCGCGGTGAAGCGAAAACAATGAGACTGATCCCGAGATTGCAAAGTTTTCCACCCGATTTCCCCTCGAACCTGTAACCAATCAGTCACTGTCCCTCAACGTTGTCGTGCCACCTCGACCCCCGCTCCACCCTTATCCCGAAGTCCTCCAAGTTGGACTATCAAAATGGGAAAGCACATAACTCACTTTCCACCGGAGTAATCACTCGCTGTACCCCCAGAATATCCAAGACATAAAAGTTCCCCGTAGCAAGCAGCACCCGTGACACTCCCAATGTCCCTCAACCGTCATTTTTCCGTCTTTCACATAATTAATTTCGGAAGCCTCGAGTAATATCACAAACTGCATCTCCCTCATTTCCATAGAAATTATCATCCCCTCACTTTCCTAGATTGGCATAATCCTCCTCCACTCTGTTAAGATTAATTGAATCCCGGCAATATCACAAGTTATTCTTCAACTGAAAGTTAAAGTCCATTCCGAACTGCAGTACCAAGTGCAACTCTCCGAAATGAAAAATGCTAATTTCCCCGAAGAAAGTTCAATATCAGCAGTAACAAACGCCACTTGTTTACAATTTCCCACGAGGAAAAACAATGTACTCGATTCGAGTATATATAATACTAGGGGGATACGCCCCCTGTTCATATGATTCCTATATGAATCCCAGAACCCTTATTCCAACCCTTGCGACCCTTAATCTGACGCTCGTGACCCTCATTACACCCCGCGAATACCAAATTTTCATCACCAGCAGTCGAATTGGATTTTTATAATATAGACAGATGCAGAGATCATGTCCCTTATATAGAGCCTTAATTTGAACCTTCTGACCCTTATTTGGGCTTTTTTATCCGACCCTTTCAGCCGTTATTCTAACCCTCGTGAGCCTTCCTCGACCCCCATGACCCTTACTTTGACCTCCTGACACTTATTACGATTCTTATGACCCTTACTCTGATCCTCATTACCCTTATTTTGACCTCGTGGTCCTTATTCTGGCCTTTATGACCCTTATTATGACCCTCATAACCATTATTTTAACCCTTTTAACTCCTTAATATTGGAATCTTAATTTCGAGTATTAAATTTTCGTCACCAGAAGCCGATTGGGATTTTTAAAATATAGAGAGATATAGAGATCCGTATTTCGACCCTTGGGACCCTTAGATTTTGACCTCCATGAGCCTTATTTGGACCCTCAATCTGATCTTTGTCACCCTTAATCTGTTCCTTGTTTTTTGGGCCTTTAATCCAACCCTTGCAGCCCTTATTCTAACCCTCGTGAGCCTTACTCTGACCCTCATGACCCTTACCTTGACCTCGTAACCCTTATTATGACCCTTATGACCCTTATTGTGACCCTTGTGACTCCTTAATTTTGAAGTCTCAATTTCGAGTAATAAATTTTTATCACCAGAAATCGATTTGGATTTTCATCATATAGAGATACTTGATTCAAGTATATTTTGTACTCGAATCAAGAATAACATCCTTGAATCAAGTATATACTCAATATTCGCATTCTTTTCCGTGCAGACAACTCTTAATCCCGAAAACTCACTGTCCGCAATATAATAAAAAACTCCGAGCGAGTAACATAAGGAAATTTAAAACCGCCGACACCTAACTGAATTTTTCGTCTCGTCTTTCTTTCAGATTAAGGAGCGCCGTCACCTGGTTGAATCGACAATTCCGGGGTGGCGTCTTGCGGAGCCCCACCGCAGTTGGCTGAAGGCATAAAACAACCCCGTGAAAACGAAGAAGAAAGAACCAGCAATGTAGGAACAAAAAGCCCCGCACCTCGTGATTTCGCAGCGGAGAAGCCATAAAATTGGTCATGAAATTGTTCACGGGACAGCGAGGATATCCCACGACAGCGGAGGAATGTCCCACGAAGGACCACTCAGGAAGTGTGAAATAATATTCATAACAGTCGATAGCTGGAGCTGAACAGTCCCGAGAGCCCTCTCACCCGCAATCCCACTCGAGTGTTTAATTTCATCGAGCTTTTTCATCACCCGGTAATGATGGTCCAATTGCTGGGATAAAAGAGTTGGCTGTTGTACTCGACCTCTCCACTTACCGTCAGTTCTCCCAAGTGATCATCAGAATCCCCTACGCACACAGCAATGAGTGCCTCCACCGGCATCACACGGACAGCCGTTACCGGCAAAACTAAAATTGACGATACAGCAATGAGAATAAATATCTCATGATAATTTTTGTCGAGTTTAAATGACATAATCGCTGCGATTATCAGTTTCACGTGAACCACGAAATATCATCAGTCACCGTCCGCGTCCCCCAGGTGTGTTGAATACACGCACACCCACAGAAACGCATTGCCATCGCAAGTGGAAAAGCGGAATGAATTATTCACCGCTGATGTGTACAGCGCTGTGTGCAAGGGTGCTCGTCCGGTGACAAAGTATCGCGATTTACGTTTAATCGCGATTTGCAATTCGTCCCTTCCGCAATTCGCTGATCGATTCAATCCCCTAAATTGGAATATTTCGAAGTCAGCTTGATGAGAAGTCGCGAAAAGCTGGGATTGCGCCTCCGCGTGTCAGCAGCGAGTAAGTAATCCTGGTGTGAGGCAACTTGATAATCTTTGGGAGAAGCGCTCCCTCGAGAAGGCGCGGCCGTCACGTTTGCATGATAATCGCAGGGAGTGTGGATTGAAATAAAACGAAATTATTGTCCCCCAGGGGGTGGTCGAGCCCAGTGTGGATAACAAATATGGCGGATTGGTGTGCTTTAGAGAGGGTGAATAGCCGGTGAAACATGACAATATTTATGGTAATGGCGTCGTCGGGTCAGCAAGCTCCTAGCGGAGATCGGAGATTGGAGTGAGTCTGGGGGTGTGACCTAGCCCCCACGCGATTCCCCTCGCTCCTCTGGACACTCCGTCGTGCCTCTCCTTGACAAACGTTTGACTTCTGGCACGATAAATGCTGGCTATCGCCACCTCGGATTTCCACCTTCGTGATAATGTTCGACACCGGATGCCAGTGGGAGTGAAGTTTCGGGGCGACGGGGGTGTAACGTATTGGTGTCGCGTCGGTGGTGGGGTACAGTGAACAGGGAAGACTGCGGCTTCAGAAGGATGGAGAAGGATCGTCACTACCGGGCGTACGAGGGCCTGAAAGCCGCAAACAACGGCAACACGTCGTCCCTCAAGCGCACGAGCACAACTTCCAAAGCGCAGACTAGGCAGATCAGGTGTCTGTGCTTCGGGGGTGTGCCGGACAAGGCGAGCCATCACTCGTTTTTCAAGGGGTTTATGATTAATCTGGGGATTTGCGCGCTTCTTGTGGCCTACACGCTTCTCGGGAGCTTCATCTTTTTGGCTATTGAGGGCGGCGCCGATGGCGGACTGCAGCAGAGGACTCTGGCCACCACTATTGCTAATAGCAATCAGCCCGCTCATCGGAATACTACGGCCTGGCTGAATAAGGTATGGTTGGACAGTGGCAGAAAATTGGTCGTGAAGTAAGATGAAAGATGAGAAACATTTGAAAAGCTAATAGTGAATTTCGGTCAGAAGTTTTTCAGAAATTTCCGAAATAAAACTGTTTGACAGCATCAAATACTGCGCGCTAATTGGGGAATACTGCGCTCTAGATCTGAGTGAGAAAAATAATCAATTAAATTTGATTTCTCAGGTTCACATGGCAATGAAAATGACTGAAAATCACGAAAAGTGAATTTCGGTCAGAAGTTTTTCAGAAATTTCCGAAATAAAACTGTTTGACAGCATCAAATACTGCGCGCTAATTGGGGAATACTGCGCTCTAGATCTGAGTGAGAAAAATAATCAATTAAATTTGATTTCTCAGGTTCACATGGCAATGAAAATGACTGAAAATCACGAAAAGTGAATTTCGGTCAGAAGTTTTTCAGAAATTTCCGAAATAAAACTGTTTGACAGCATCAAATACTGCGCGCTAATTGGGGAATACTGCGCTCTAGATCTGAGTGAGAAAAATAATCAATTAAATTTGATTTCTCAGGTTCACATGGCAATGAAAATGACTGAAAATCACGAAAAGTGAATTTCGGTCAGAAGTTTTTCAGAAATTTCCGAAATAAAACTGTTTGACAGCATCAAATACTGCGCGCTAATTGGGGAATACTGCGCTCTAGATCTGAGTGAGAAAAATAATCAATTAAATTTGATTTCTCAGGTTCACATGGCAATGAAAATGACTGAAAATCACGAAAAGTGAATTTCGGTCAGAAGTTTTTCAGAAATTTCCGAAATAAAACTGTTTGACAGCATCAAATACTGCGCGCTAATTGGGGAATACTGCGCTCTAGATCTGAGTGAGAAAAATAATCAATTAAATTTGATTTCTCAGGTTCACACGGCAATGAAAATGACTGAAAATTACGAAAATTGAGGCAACTTTTCTTCTGAATTTTCAAGTTGCTGCTTAATTCTCGCGATAGGTAGACAATCCAAATTGTCATTGAAAAATCAATAATCATTCATAATGAAAAACGTAATTTTATTGAATTTCCAAGATTAACCGGGATTTCCATGAGCAATTTAGTCTGAGATTGAATTCAAGTTCTGAATATTGAAAATTCAATTGCATCTGTTACCTAAATTCCAAAAAATTTCTACCAGATTCAACAAAGATTCCCAGTCATTTTTCCCCGGAATCACCACCACCAGACACATCCCCAGAAATTTTCTATTCCAACGCTAGAATTTTTCCCGCTCTCTTCTCGTGTCTCCAAACTAAATTACCACAAATCCGTCCTCCCCTTCCTCAATGATCCATCCGCACTTCCCCGATTATTTACCCGCGCCCTGATCAATAAACCTTCGCCCATTCCCGACAGATCCGACGGAATAAACAATTCACAGACAGTCACTAAAACGTGATTTACAGTAACGCCAGTGCTGTAGTCCTATCTCTTCAGCCTCACCTTATCGCAAATCGTGATAGTCTCCTCTCATCACTTTCGTACGTCTCGCCCATTTCCCCGAAGTTTCCAGAACAGAGAGCTTTAAGCGAATTGGCCCTTCCCCCC